CAAAAAAAAAAAAAAAAAGAATTGGGGAAATTTGGGGAAAATGAAGAAATTGTTCTTGCCTGATTATGACACTTGGTAAAAGAATTATACTGAAACAGAAAGGTACTGACTATGATGAATAAAGTTTCTGAAGAACCTTGGGCTTTGGGGCTGACTGCCTTTAGCCTTATAAATCAAAATTGGAATTGTGAGGAACAACAATGGGAAAGGTATGACAATGGAGTGAAACCCGCTGAACTACGCTTCTGTAAACTGCAGGTAGTTAGCCTCTGAGGTGAAAGCCTCAGAAGTTGTTTAATAATTAACCCAGCTAAGAATTAAGAATATAGTGGCTGGCATGGGGCTTGGGAACTGGGAAAATGTCATAATGAATGATGATGTTCTGATTTCAAAGAATCTTTGTACTTTCTGTGAACTGCTTTGTTCCTGAAATGATTAACCTGGGACAAGAAAAAAAAAAATCAAGTTCTTTGTGTAAAATTCCCAAAGAAAGACTGAGGTTTGAAGCTGGGGGCAGAGAGAGACAGAAAGGGAAAGAAATAAGAGATACTGAGAGAGAATTAGAAGACCCCTCCCTGCAGCTGAGAGCCTGCCAGCTTGCATTAGAATCCTGTGTTAGCGTACTCAGCCTTCCAGACATCCCAGATTCGAGACCCGCTTCTCTGCTGAGGCTGGTCCCCGGCATCCTACCATACTCAGAAACAAAACATCAGCTACCTCTGAACTCCCCACATTCCTTTAAGAGACTAAGAAGTGGACCAGTGAGGTGACTCAGCAAGAAAAGGCACCTGCTACCAGGAGTGATGACGTGGGCTGGGTTCCTGCGACCCGCATGGTGCAAGGAAAGAACTGGCTTCAGGTTGGGGCACACCTTGACACGTGCTCGCCTCACCTCCTTAAACAAGTAAATTTAATCTAAATAGTCTTAAAGAGATAGAGATGAAAATCTCCTGCAGTTACTGATTTTCGCGTGCTAGGAGAGTGAGAACACTGATAATCTCCACAAGGGAAGGAAGGAGAGAAAACCACGGGGGAGGAGTTCTCACCAGCGCTGCTCTGCCGCCTGTGGCCGGACGCTCTGCGTCTGTGAGCGCGTGTATCCCGCAAGCCCTCAGTCCCGGAATACTGAAAACTGGTTTCGCTTCTTTCTTCCCCCTTTCTTGGAAATGGAGGGGGGCTCAGGTTCCTTCCATCTGACCTTTTCTTAGATGCAATCGAACACGAAACTTCATAAATCCCGCCGGGTCTTCCTCCGAGGCCATACCCTAGGTCACCTTCCGTCAAGTCATCCTCCTCTGTTTCCCAGATATCCTCAGTCTCACTCGGCGACCTCGACACTTTGCTCATTAGCCAAATGCGGCTTTTATCATAAGGGAAGACAGGCTGCCTGTAGTGAGGGGAGCAGTAATTAAAAATCACTCAGCGGATGCCATGCTTCCTCTTCTGCTTTTTCCCCACAAAGACATGAAAGGTTTTATGTCAAAAAGTTGCCTATACATCCATGCTCATTGCCACTAACTTACAGCTCCCAAGCTATGAATAAAGAAAATGTGTGTGCATTCACGGAGAGGAGTATTATTCAGTGTTAAAAGCCTGGGGGGAGGGGCGGGAGGGGAGGAGCTGGAGAGATGGCTCGGTGGTTAAGAGCACTGGCTGCTCTTACAGAGATCTTCCTGCCTGAGCCTCCTGAACTCTGAGGTGAAAGGCGTGGGCCACCGTGCCCAGCGTCTCCTCCTGTTTCCATCTCTCTCCCTCCCTGCTTTCCCTAGCACATAGAACTGTGTAACATATCCCCCAGATTTTGCTTATTTCTCAAATTATACCACAAACCCGTCTGATAAAGTGGGGGATTGAGTGGAGCAGGAGGCGACTCACTGTGTATATGTGCAGGTTAGCTCAGCCGCCTGTACATCCTCCTCGGCCGTGGCCCAAACCTGCTCCAGACACCCTCACGCAGAAGGGACACGCCAACAGGTCCCAAGCCCTGTCTGCTTCACCCCGGGACTCTAGAGCCTAATTCAGTTTCTGAAACATAAAAGCGGCTCAATAAAGACTTGATTACTAAACAAATAAAAAGGAGAGAACGAGCGAATATAAAACTTGCCTCTTCTAGGACAAGGATGTACACAGTCGTGTTGTCGAGGCTACAAGGCTACACACTGGGCGCCACAAGACTTGCCCTCCCCCCCCCTTTTTTTTTTTAAATTTTTTTGAGACAGGGCTTTTCTGTGGCTTTGGAGCCTGTCCTGGGACTCGCTCTGTAGACCAGGCTGGCCTCGAACTCACAGAGATCCGCCTGCCTGTGCTTCCCGAGTGCTGGGATTAAAGGTGTGTGCTACCACCGCCCGGCAACACTTGCTTTCTTTTCCAGAAGAAAATATTTTCTAGAAACAGCATCTTAGAGGATGCACCACCGAGGAGCCCCCTCCACCCCCACCTCTGGGGTCACTTACTCAGTCACGCGCAGGGAGCAAGTGCTGCAGACACTCAGCCTCCTTCCTTCAGGACGGAGTGTGGTGAACTCCGGCTTTCAACACCGGGCATTTCAACACGGTGGTTCTGCTGCAACAGTGTAGAAATGTTTCACTTTAAACACAACTATGAGTTAAAGAGTCCAGTGTCAAGTTTCAATTCAATGAGAAGAAAATATAATAATAATGATGATGATAGTAATAGCAAAAAAATAATCCCAGTTACAAGCCTCAGATGAGACTGGGAATACAAATATCCCGCTGCTTAAGCAGATGCTTACTGGGACTGTCAAAGACACTGAACCAGTTTTGACTTTTTGCTGAAATGGCTTTTTTGGTGGGGAAAGACCCGGTTAATCTGTGTAGGTTTGGAGCCTGTCCTGGAACTCGCTCTGTAGACCAGGCTGGCCTTAAACTCAGAGATTCGCCTGCCTCTGCCTCCTGAGAGCTGGGATGAAAGGCTTGTGCCACCACCATCTGGTGAGACTGCTATTTTATTTTTCACTCTCAAACCCATATGCTAAACTGGGTGGTGGTGGCAGCTCAGGCCTTTAATTCCAGCACTCTGGAGGCAGAGGTAGGTGGATCTCTGTAAATCTCAGGCCAGTCTGGTCAACAGAGGGAGGTCCAGGATAGCTAAGGCTACAGAGAGAAACCCTGTCTTGAGAAACAAAAACTAGAGATAACCCATAACCCATGTCCATCTCCAGAAATGACCACACAACTGAATATTCAGCAATAAATATAATCCCATAGCCAGGTATGGTGGGACTCAATTCCTAGCATTCAGAAGTAGGAGGAGGGCTGTCATAAATATCAAGCTAGTTAGATATTACTACACTAGTAATAATATCTAAAAAGGCTTTAGACTACACTTAAAGCCTTTTCTAAAAATCAAACAGGAATATTACCGGTAGTGGCGCATGCCTGAATCCCAGCACTCAGGAGGCAGAGGCAGGTGGCAGGCTTCAAAGTCACAGAGAAACACCCTGTATCAAAAAAAAAAAAAAAAAAAAA